AAAGAGTGGGAAAAGCTGTACTAGGATATAATCTCAAAAATGATAGAATGATTTCAATACGAATCCAAGGCAGACCTTCAACATCACAATAAGTTTATGGACCAACCACCAGTGCTGAGGAGACTGAAACTGACCAATTCTATGAAGACTTACAATACCTTCTAGAACTGACACCAAAGAAAGATGTTCTTCTCATTGTAGGGGATTGGAATGCTAAAGTAGGGGATCAAGAAATAAAAGGAACAACAGGGAAGTTTGGCCTTGGAGTTCAAAATGAAGCAGGGCAAAGGCTAATAGAGTTTTGTCAAGAGAACAAGCTGGTCATCACAAACACTCTTTTCCAACACAAGAGGTGACTCTATACATGGAAATCTCCAGATGGACAATACCATGACGATGGAGAAGCTCTATACAGTCAGCAAAAACAAGACCTGGAGCTGATTGTGGCTCTGATCATCAGCTTCTCATAGCAAAATTTAAGCTTAAACTGAAGAGGGTAAGAAAAACCACTGGGCTAGTCAGGTATAATCTAATCCAAATCCCTTATGAATACACAGTGGAAGTGAAGAACAGAATTAAGGAACAAGATTTGGGGGACAGAGTGAGAACTTTGGATAGAGGCTCGTAACATTGTCCAGGAGGCAGCAACAAAAACTATGCCAAAGAAAAGGAAATGCAAGAAAGCAAAGTGGCTGTCCAATGAGGCCTTACAAATAGCAGAGAAGGAAAACCAAATGCAAGGGAGATAGGAAAAGATACAGAAAATTGAATGCAGACTTCCAAAGAATAGCAAGGAGAGACAAGAGGGCCTTCTTAAATGAACAATGCAAAGAAATAGAGGCAAAATAATAGAAAAGGAAAAACGAGAGATCTGTTCAGGAAAATCGGAGATATTAAAGGATCATTTTGTGCAAAGATAAACATGATAAAGGGCGAAAATGGGAGGGATCTAACAGAATCAGAAGAAGAGGTGGCAAGAATACACACAGGAATTGTACTAGAAAGTTTTGGACAACCCAGATAGTGTGGTTGCTGACCTTGAGCTAGACATCCTGACTTCACACATCAAGCGAGCCTTAGAAAGCTTGTCTAACAACAAGGCC